ATAGCGTGGATTCTGATTGATAAGACAAAGATAAATATCGCAAAATACGGAAAATAAAGCACGAATACCCATCAGAAGCGATCGATTTTTATTTTTGATTGAAACATTTAAAAAAAAAGCTCATGGAAAAACGTTGATTGCCTTATGATTGGATCTAAAAACGTATTTGATATTCTTCTTGGAGAAGGCGCCCGTGTGAGGTATAAAAGTAATTTGGCCTTCAGGGACCGCCAATTTATCCCAGATCCTTTATCAATTATCCAGATCTAACGTTATACCTGTATCAAGCTTATTTACGACCCAGTCACGTGCGAAGTTTAATGGCTGCTTGCCCGTTACGAACTTTGATTCTTGCATGGTTGGTGCAAATTAAAATATATACCATATACACACACATACAATAATAACGATACCTGTGCCACTTTATATATATAGCCATTATACTAATGGAGATAGTAAGTAGAACAACTGGTTTTCATGAAACAGGTCAGAGAGTAGATACGGTTGGGTGTCAATCAGACAAGCACACATTACTCTGACCTATGGAGCAAGGATCGATTTTATTGACAAAAGGAACGTTCAAAATGGAAACCTGTCTAGTTTGGAGAATCATGTAAATAGAAACGTTGTGTGTGAATCTCCTATATTTTCGATGGTTCAAGGGTATGCGATGAGCTTCGAGAAGAGCTTTACGAAGGCAAGTGACTTGGCCGAAAGTGAATGAAAAAAGTGGGCCAATGCCATAGTAAGAGTTGCCAACGCGATAGAGAAATTCAATGGTCGAGAGCACGCGAGCTTTGCCGTCCGTTACTTATAAATAATTTTTAGTCCTTTCGGTTAGGAGCTTTTATGACCTTTGACACAACACGTTGCTTATATACATATATATTCACGACAAACGTACAAGCTGAAGTTGACCACGAATTAACGATCCTGTTAATCGAGGCACTGCGAGCTCGTTAAATAAATAAAATAATGTGAAGCTCATGATTAATAATCATATGACGTGATCTTGCATTTTTTTTTATCGATGCCACACTGCTCTGACTGATGGAATCGCCCATTTGCGGCAAACTTCAGCCAGTGAGTTTGTCTTGAATAATTCTGAATATTGTTTGCCGTGAATGACATATTTTTATAATTAATCCAAAGCTATTTAATTCCTTAAGAGGCTCGTCTTAGCCCACATTCCTATATATATTTACATGTATCCGTATATGTACAATACTACTGTATACGTACAGAATATAATGCTACCGTGTCTCACATAAAAAATTTTCTTGACGAATTTCAACATCAAGTTTTCATATCCTCGAGATGCAAATTTGAAAGATACACCAAAATTTATGACAATCGTGTAAACTCCTCGGATGACAGAAGGAATTTTACAAATTTTTTTTTTTTTTACGAGTATTCAAAGAAACCAACACAAGCAAAAAGTGCTTTCGGACAATTGAAACTAAGTGAAGCAACAGCATGCATCAATAGAACTGTTTATCTAAAAGCGTAACCAGTTTCCATCGAAAGACACGTGAGCTAGTAAAAATTTCTCGCAAGACGAGAGACCATGATCGATCGTCGGTATCGAAGTAAGGCAGACCCTTCCATTTCCCACGAATTTCCGGGATGACGTGCTCGATCACAAAACTTTCCTCAAGGCGGTTGGAGCTCGGGATCGCAAGTCTTTGCCAAACAGCTACGACCGCCATTTTCGTCGTTGACGTAGTGGGGGCGAGGGTTGAACAGCCACAGGGGTGACAATATCACGCGCGACTCTCAGGATTCGTCCGCGTGACAAATTGCCACGATATCGAACAAGCGTGAGAGAGAAAGATAAAGATCTAAAAAAAAATACGGCAATAATAAAAACATCTTAAGACAAGGAACACGTAAAGAATATCCGCGATCAGAGAAAGAACAAGATAGAGGAACGAAGAAGAGAGTGTAGAGAAAGTACAACGAAAAATACCCTTAATGTCGAACCACGTCAAAAGGTCGTCTATTAAAATCCTTAATGTTATAGCTGCTTTGATTGCAAAGGTCCTCTGATACATTCGGGACACCCTTTAGATAGCCATCCATTCAGCTGCTAGTAGCCGGGAAGCTTTGTAGCTAGAACAAATGGGATTGCGTATACATGCAAAGTACTAATATCTATGTGAATTATGAAAGTTGATAAAAAAAAAATTTAATAAAAAATTATTGATAAGTATCCAATATGATAATTTATAAGATACATCTTCCACCCTTTCCACCACTGTAATAAACCTTAGAGAGATAATTAGTGCCGATAAAAAAAATCTTATTTTTAGTCAACGACAAAAGGTCAGTATCGCATTAATGCCGGTTGACAGTTGGCTCCAAATTCGATAAAGAGTCGAATTATTCGTTTAAGATGAAAAGTCCTTAATGGAAATTCGTCAAGTTGGTAGTCCCCTAATAATTGATATTCCAGTGCGGATACAAGGCATCGTTTTTCTTTCTCATTCGGGTCAGGATTTTCGTTGGTGGCTGACTGAGTGAGATGGGCAGAATTAATCACGGTTTGTTATCGGTCTGTGCGGAGAAACGCGTGAAAGCTCATTGTCCTTCGATCCGAGAACTTTACGTTCCTTCGGTTGTAATTTTGCTAAAGCTTTTTCTTTCTCCTCGCGGAAATGAATGTTCGATAATAATCCTTTGGGAATCCTTCTATATTAACAACGGAAATATTTTTCATCGAAGGCGAAGCCAGGGAATACAAAAAGCAGCAACGCTTCATTGGCAGAAAACTGAATTAGCCAGATGGACGTACCGAGAGAAGCTTTTTGATGTTCAGTCATTCTGATCGGACAGTGAAAGCTCCATCATGGCGGCACTACTGGCAAAGTCAATTTCATTAAGCACTGATACTCGCTTCAAGTGGTATTGCAAATACAGGGGCGGATGAAGCTTTTACGAGTTTTTGGTTGCCCCCCCCCCTCCTTCCCGGACCAATAATATTTTTTTATAGGTATATTATACATCAAAACTTACTTAACGTCATTTATGGGTTTTTACTTTTTTGAACGGAATATAAAAAAAAAACGTATCGCTCACGTTGGGCTTTCAAAACTTCATAGATGTATGCTTGTTGTTATATTGGATTATCGTAGGTTGAAAATTTCAAAGCCCATTGACCCTTCAACCTTTTGACATTATCTTCCTTCAACATTGTCGTGAGTTTCGTATAGGCGATGTTGCCTTTTCCGTGGGGATATCAGCAGTGAATATTTGAAGTCACGTCGAAAATGAAACCAGGTTAACTTGGACGTATGAGAATTTTGTAATTTCCTTTAATCCCGTTTCCTATTACCTTCTCTTGAAGAAAAAAAGTTCATTTGTTAAATTGGCTCGTTTCTCAAGAGAAAGAAAAAAAAACAGGATCACGGCTATGCTTCAGCGGTATGAGAATAAAAATAAAATTGATAGGATCGAAATTAGTAGAATACTTCATTTACAGGATTTTTTCGAGCGCGATGAAGTGTAGATGTCTACGCGAACGGGTGGAATTTGAATTTGAAAAAGATCCGAAGCATTCGCCCGTCACGCGAAAGATCAAACGGGTCAAAATAAGGTTTTAGAACCCGAACGATTCAACCCATCGGCCGTAAACTACTTTTTTGGGTACGCGGAATGTACTCTGGGGTCCAATGTACCCCACGTGTTTTTTTCGTACTATTTCCGCCCTGGTCGTCAAATTTGAAAAAGTCGGTTATATTTAAAAATTGTATACTATAATCAAGATGTTCATGCAGTTTTTAAAGAATTCAGAGCTTTAAGACAAATGTAGAGCACGGCTTAAAAACTTTCAGTACGCTCGATAAAAGAAATGTGCGATAAGTTTAGTTTTTATTAATTTTTTTTCGGGTACGCGTAACACAAAAAATCGATGACTTTTAGAAAGCTCAAGACCAGGCTTCAATAAAAAAGTTAGGGGCAGCCAGAACAACTATAATAGTTGAATTATTTAGAGAGGTAAAAATGACGAAATTTCGAAAGGGGTCTATAAAGGGGGGAGGGAAAAAAGAAGGAGTGTCATTGCCGATGTTTATTTAATCATTTTATATTTTTTATATATATAGGAAAATATGATTCTAATAATCTATGTGGAAAGAAGACTTACACCTGCAAAATATAAAAAAAGCTCAAATTCCTTCTTATTGGATAGTATAGGACGTTCGCGTTGATATCAGTATATAAAGACCCGTTTAAACACTTTAACTTACTATATTGACTTACTCCAATTGCAATTACACTAAAAAGTGGTTTAAGTGTAAGAAAAATAAGAAAACTCAAATTTGCTCACCGAACAAAAATTTTACACAGACTGTACACTAGAGTCAATTGGACCCCTCGACTGCTCCAAACCTGTACCTTTCAAGGTTCAGGGAATCAGTGAACGCGAGTTTCTTCCAATCCTATGGGAGAGACCTCAAACATCATATAAATGAATACACTAGTCCATTTCTAAGCACGTAACAACTTTTACAGCGAAATCTCAGTGGCGTGGGGTCTGGTGGACCCCAGAGTACACTTCGAGCGTTAATTAAACGCGCTGGTATTTACCACCGTGGAATTTTAGTTTCCCAGTGTGGTTATATGAGCTACGAATATAATTAGTTCATTTGCATTAAACTAATAGCTATCACTCGGAACTTAACCATCAACAAAGGGAAACAATTTGGAGCTATGCCGGAAGTCTCTCTTTAATTAATAACATGAAAAAAATACGGAACGAGAGGATTTTCTTCTTTGTGTATCCCATTGAAAATACGTTAAGTATCAAACGGTGGGGCTACTGAGCTGGATAAAAGAAGCCCTCACTATTTCTATCCGTCTTTTTTTTATTTTCTTTCGTAACGGTATGAGCTTCAAATTTCCTAGTGACTATCAGAATACGGTGAAATTGAATAACACAATACTACCCAAGGCATAATACAAACGACCAAGACCACACTTAATTAACATCATTATCTTACCTGTAGGTGATAAATGCAAAAACAAGAGCAACCAGCGACAAACTCCCTCCAAGAACAACAATAAGACTAAGGGCGCCATCTCTATCGAGTGTTCCAGCAATTCCATTTGATATTCCACCAGCAATTCCGCCAGTGTGAGGGAAACCATGGATGGCTCCCGTATACAGAGTCTCCATGGTGATTTGTAAGTCAATCCTCAATGCATCTGAAACACGACACAGTACCTCATGAGAAAACAGCACCTTCAAAAAAGGAAATACGTAATTCCTTTGAGAGGATATATCCTCACTGTAAATTCGTATCTACTATAGCTGAATTATATTGAACTTCCGCACTGAGCACAGAATGAAGGAAACCTAGTAACCGATCAATATCACTTTACACATACGTTCCGTTCACAATAGCTGACGAAGGAAGAACTCACAAGAGGCTACCAAGACTCTTTATCCTATGACGATAAGCTATGAATAATGGTGAGGTCAGGGTGCCATTAAAATTTATGCCAGCAAGATGCAAATATTCGTCCGAAAAGCCATGCGGTGGCGTTCTATACGTAACCTCAAACTATCGGCAGCACTACGCGGCGGTAAGTCAAGAATTTCGAACATAACCAAATTTACTTTTAACGTCTACACGAAAAATCTAACATACAAGGAACTATTGAATCGTCACTGAAACGAATTTAAAGATATTAAAAATTCCATTACCGTCGGTAAGTCATAAATTGTCAACTTTAATACCTGACTAAAATACAGAAGATGCATTGTCTCGCCCGCACTTCGAACGTGTATTACACCACCAAGAAATTTATATCGATATCCGCGTTTCTTTATCGTTCACGTACTTCTTAAGTTATTTTTGTAATATTTAAATTAAAAAAGTTTTCGGCATACCCTCTTCACGGGGCTGGGAGATGCTTTCTAACCTCAGAATGGAATATCGTAATACGTATATAAGAATGTAATAATAAATTCTCATGTAAACACTGCGTACAGACTTTTCCAAGCTGCACTGTTACTTGCACGATACTTATATGCGTAATAATTTCGAAATAATGGAACGAGACGCGTGCAATTTTTGCACGTGAACTTTCATGCGAAAACTTTGTATGCATCTCATACCTTTATTCAGCAGTTATTCCTTAAGAAAATGCCATTTTTCAATTGTGGAACTTACACAAATCTGCGTGCACTTCACTTCGATAAAAACAATGCATAAACTCCGTGAAATTTGTAATTTTCCTAGTTATAAACTCAAGATGGTCGTTTGCATTTTCCAACCGCCATAATGCTCCTTCATAACACAACACGAAATTCCAACTGGCTAGATTTGTTTTCGTTACCTACACTTTCTGCACTTTTCAAGAAAGTGCAAATTCTTATTCGATGATATTTTTAAGTAACCAATGAGAACTTGTCCTTTTTTGAAAGTGCAGAAAGTCTAGGTAACAAGAACAAACCTACACTCGTTCCTTGTGAGCACTTTCTACAAAGCAAAGGACACTAAAAAAATAGTTTCTCCGTAAACCACAGATGGCGCTGCAAGTGTTCAGTCATGATACAATCCCCCAAAAAACACTTACGTGTAAAAAACTACGCCAAGTACAGGATTGCTGTGAATTCCTCTAACAAAAAGTATTGATATCATATTATTGAGGCCAAGTACATAAGTCACTACATGTTTTCCTATTATATGATCTAGCACTGGCCCATCATTTTAATTATATTTTCAATATTTCCTATAACGTTTTCGCTACTCTTCTATGTTACTACTGCTTCCCGTGTTTAATTACGATTTAATGGTGATTTAATAATTAATAAAACTTAAGGTGATTCCTTATCGAGTACTACTTGGCGGCTCCGTGCATTTCTTGATATAAATTTGGTACAAAACCAGTACCAATTGTCTATAGAAAGCATATTAACAATAACTCGTCAAAAATAAACACGGTAAAAGCTTAATAACAAACATACAGCATTAGAATACTATGACCACGTGCAAAGTAAGTACTTTGGATTCGGACCGTGCGCAATGCGCTGCACTGAACGACAAACTAATTTCTAGTTAATGTCTCTAATATATGGTACGACTATTATAATTAATATAGTTATGACATATGCGAATACGAATATAATACGTTCTACGGATGCATTAACAACGTTAATACTATTAAGGCGCGTCAGCCAGCTTTCCGCTTCTCCCGTGCCGTCGCTACTCGCAATGGCGCTCCCGTAATTATTCATAGCGCTCGTTACGTTATAGTATGTGCCAGCGATTTTGATCTTGAGTAAAATTGAAATCACTTTATTCTCATTTACGAGAGATTCAGGTGTTACCTTAAACAGGTACATCAGGCATTATAAGATTGTACAGGTTAATTATTTTCTGTAACAACACAACTTTATGGTTTTACTATAAAAAAAGAAAAGAATGTCAGATTTCCTTGTCCTCTTATGACCAACTTGATATTATTACAGTTTAACAAAACACTTGGCACACGTAGCACGTTTATCGTTAGGTTTATATTCTACTTTATATTGGCAATAAATAAATCTCTACTATTTATAGTATCGATTCGAACCGTATTAGTCTACAATATAGATATAGATCTGTTGACTCAGACAAAATATAATAAAAGTAAGTTACATTATATACAAGGAAAGAAAAGTGTTCGTAATGGGCTAAATTTTTAATTGTAAGGTGCCCTGAGAAAATTACTAAGGAACGGAGGGCAAATCCATAAATTTAGCATTTCGTTTTACCGATCCTCGAATGACCTCGATATGCTTACGCAGCACCATGTTATAACACTGCTGTGAGTAACGCTTGGATCCTTTAATGCTTCTAATTTGTTCAAAATGAAAATTTAATTAAAGGTTCGTGCTAAGTCAAAATATCAATGTTAACCAATATTAATTTAAAGATATAGAAATTCCATAAGGTATTTTTTTATTATCCCCTCCCCTCTCCCCAGTTTGTGGTCCTCTTTCATACATTTTTCTACATCAAGTATCATCACCAATTCAAAAGCTATAATGATGATCGTGGAGCATTAATACACTTTGAATTGTATAGATTTTCAGATACTGTAGCTATTGGTGTGGAAGGAGATGGGAAAGGAAAAAAAATGAAAATACGCAAATGCAATCTTGAAGATGTTCAAAAAAAAAATATTAAAAAGAAGGAATGATACTGAAAGTTGCAATAAAATTGCCGGCGAACAACCTAACACTTTTTATCTTGTTGCAAAAATTGCCAAGACAAATTTGATTTTTTGGAGAATATTCGATCTTAAAGAGTGTTATATATATTAAGGAGAGTTGTCTTGGAATTTATTGAGAGTATTGTGACACTTTTCAAGGCTGATAGAAAATTTATTGGGAGTGTCAGTTCTTTGAAAATTAACGTAAACATTTTTTTATTTTTTCGTTAAGCTAGTTTTACAACGTTACATGGTTAGGGTTCTTCTAACGGGTGTAACATTGATAATGACACTATTTTTAATTTAATAAAAATAATTTAAGTGAATAAGCTGTATAGCAAATGGAGCTTGTATGGTGGATTCATTAATAAAGTATAGTCGATTTTTATATAAGCGATTTCAGTTGTATTTTCCTTTATGACATTTGAGCTGTGAAAAGTTAGCAAATCATGTGTAAATTAAGGTATTCATGCGTGTATAAGCACTTGTTGCGCGAATTTGAAGTATGAGCAATTATTTATTGTGGTCAGCATAAATGTTTTTTCCTGAAAAACCTTTTCGAATGGCACTCGACCTTTCGGAACAAACCCGCGGTTAGAACCTGTGAAAATTGTTTTAATTGCCACTCTCGAATTCGTGACGAATAAGGATAAAATTAAAAGTTGCAATTTTTGCAAAAGTTTGCGTAACAGAATTCACTCAACACAAATATAATGGATTGAAAAGATAAAAAAGTTTTGATATGACATTGTTAGAGCTTATTATTATCTACTTACGTACTTTCGGTCGTGGATACTTTATGTAAATAAAAAAATTTGTTAATAAAGAAAATCCTAACTTAGAGAATACCTTGTTATAAGTATTTCATTAATTGAGACAGTCGTATAGTGAGTCAAAGAAAATGTAATACGTCGGAATTTTTGAAAAAAAAAAAAAAAAAAAAACGTACCCCTTAATACGTGAGACGGAAATAACGTAGAATCTCGTAGCACTTTCACACAACAAATAATATCAACTTCCCCTTCGCATTCCCAAAAAGCAAATTTTTCTTGAAAAAAAAAAATCTAAAAATCTCTTATACAAAACCCAGTAGAATCAACAAGAAAGTTCTCGTTCGATTTTAGAATGAATATGAAGGATTATTCCAAAATTCCTTCCCACGATTCTCCATCGACCTACAAGTATTTTCTAATGAAATAAAAATTTTATTTTTTAAATTCATGAAAAATATCGTAAAGTTTCAATAAATTTGGCTCAATCCTCCAATTCAAATGGAATCTATGAATTTTAACAAAATTATTCTCAATGCCCAACAAATTTAATTCTAACGATCGTTCGTGTAAATTATAAAGAAATTAGAGTGAAATAAAATAAAAAGGTATACAATAAACTTTCTAAGAGGTAAATCGTTCTGTATTCAGGGACGAATTAAAAAACGCTCCTCGTTCGTAGGAGTGCGGAACGCGACTGAACTCTGTCACGTTTCCCGAACCCGTAGGGCGCATGTTCACGTGGAGAGTAAAGTTGCACCACGAAAAATCAGCGAGTAAAAAGTAAAGATTCTCCAGTACGTCCAAACTTATATGTATATGTGAATAAGAATACGTAGGTTGTCTAGAAAATGGAGTCTCGTACTACATAGTCCCACAATTTGCTCCTGGAACTTAACCAAACTTGTCAGAATCATACAGTATCGATGTTAGTCACGGAAACTCACCATTCAAATTCTCCTTTATTTCTCTTCCCATCTCTCTTTTCCATCCTTCTTTTTGGTATCAAATCACTAAAAAACACGATGAGAAAACTTTCCAACGAGCCATAGAATTATTAGCCCCTTAGCATCTTCTAATTTAACAAAAACTTTTTGACAGGACGTTTCTCTTCAAACAAATAAGACTTGGCAAAAAATGTTCCCTTATCCCATTTTGAATACCACACAACGCGATTCAAATTGTAACTCTATAAACTTTACTTTATATATCGTATGTCCCTTAAAAAAAAAG